ATATGCCTCTGAGTGATCCTACGACCGAAACAGATCCGACCTGCCTTTCCTGCGCCGTTACAGAAGAGAGATTTCTAGCGCTTTCTACTAACTTAAACTAGGGCACTATTACCTAAGGGACTACCTATATAAGAGAGGGAAAGTAGATTCTAATAGTTGCCCCTGCAACTATAGGTCTATACAAGACCTACCTTATATTTTATTTAGATGTAATCTATATAGAGAGGAAAGGAAAGGACTAAAAGAAGCCTGTAAAGGCGATCTATTACTACCTATCCTCCTTAAACAAAAGAGGGTATAGAAGCAACTATTACCTTTATTCAAGAAATAAAGGCTAGAACATAAGCCTGGTATAAGGGAAACACAGAAAACGAGGAGTAATACCTGTAATAGGTAGCTATACACCTCCCCCACCCTATCCCACCCCCTACCTACTAACTAATAGGCTACGAGCCTTACCTTTATCTAGTTAAAACCCCTCCTAAATATTGTAGCTAGAAATAACTTACTTAGATACTTATAGGCCTAAAAACCCTACACATCTTATATAGCCTTTTAGGCTGAAAAAGGACGTTAAACTAGAATAATAATAATAATAATAATAATAATAATAATAATAGTATAGGTCTGCTAGAGTCTATATGGACACATGCCGCGGAGGATTCAGCCGCGTAAACTTTTTAGTCCGTGTACCCTTGTCTGCATTGCATCTGCATCTGCATCTTACGCCGCGGGCTCTCCGCAATCAATCACAATTTTCCTCAATGACATACTAGAGGGAGACACGGCCCTAATCCGGCTTAGTGCGTGGTTCCCCAACAACATTCACAACGCAGTACCTGAACCACAACACAACTCAATCCTAACCAACGTACTCACACCATCAACACAGCTTCTCAGGCTATACTCGACATGTTCCTCAGCAACAACTTGCACACCCGATTCCCATTCCGTCGGTCTCGCCGTCTCCCGATGCGCTCGCCTCATCTCACCCCGCGCCACATGCATGCTCCTGCCGCATACGTCCTAGCCCGCCAAAGCGCCGACCAGTGCTCGCTTTATCACCACCGAATCACGTTGCGCGGTGAGCACAGGTGAGAGCTTGCTCGCGATATCGGGGATTCCGTATTCATGGGAGGTTTGCGGTTCCTGCAGCGACTGACATGGTGGTTGTGCGCCAGTATACTCATGGCATAGTCTTGTATCCGGTGGCCGGGTCGAACGGAATAGAGCCTCTTGGGTACAGATATATAAGGCCGTTGGGCCTTGGATGTTGCTTGTTGTAGCTTGTTACGCTGCTCTTACGCCTCCTTTGAGTGTGTGTGTGCATTTTCTTGTTGGAGCGCTGATTGATTCTTCGTCCTCAATATGCGGTTTCAACTTCGCGCGGCGCTGATTGCGGCGCTGGGTCTTGCGTCGTCGGCGGATGCGCTCAAGATTCTCATGGGCAATGACGACGGGTTTGGCAGTGGGAATCTGAGAGAGCTGTACAAGTTACTCGTTGGCGCGGGTCATGAAGGTGAGCTTTTGGTTTGTTGGGCATTGGCACCAATACGTGTATACTGATGCGTGCAGTACTCATCGTTGCGCCCGCTCAGCAGCAGTCTGGCAAGGGTACTACGGTCATTTGGTCAGAATCAGCAAACCTGACCAAGCCGTCTCAGTACGACATTGTACCGGCGGGTTCGCCGTCTGTTGGCCGCGATCCTTCGGACAAAAACATATGGTACTACGACGGCACACCTGCAGCGTGTACCTTCGTGGCGCTCGACTATGTGCTTCCCCGGTATTACCCCGAGTGGAAGCAGACGGCGGATCTGTTCATTGCCGGGCCGAACTACGGTACCAACCTCGGCCCCTTCGTCATGGCATTGAGTGGCACTGTGGGTGCGACTTTTGCAGCTATCTCGCGTTCAATTCCTGGAATTGCGACTAGCGCGAGCAACAAGGCTGTGCCTTACTTCAACGTGACGGGCCCCTCACATCCCGCTGCCGTTGCGGCCAAGGTCACATTCGAAGTTGTGAACGAGTTCATCAAGAACACCCCGAAAGACCAGAAAGTGCTTCCTCTTGGCTACGGCGTCAACGTTAACATTCCTGATCTTGTCAATGGCACCATGCCTCCGGTTGTCAAGACCAGGCTGACGGGCAACGCAAACACTGATGTCGCCGTGTACGACGAGACGACCGGGCTGTTCGACTGGGACAATGTTGATCCTCTGGCCGCCGGTATCAACGCTCAGTACAATGGCGATACCAGTCTCCCCGACGAGACTTGGGCTGTTGCTGGTGGTGCCATTGCCGTCAGCGCATTCACCATGGACTGGTCTGCGCCAGACATTGGATACACGGATGCCGTTTATGCAAAGGTCGACGGCTTGCTGAGCGAGAGCTCAACCGTCAACAAGTCTGGGTACAGCAAGAGGATGGTCGAGGAGCGCATGCGCAAGAGGGGCGTTATGCTGACCGGACGAGACGGTGGCGCATAGACGAAGACAACGACGAACACGTTGTTCCTACGTACATTACGAAAAAGCAAGATACCTTATATAACGCTACATTAATTCTACGAACAGCAATCTTTCCGAGTTGCGAGCGGAAGACCCACACAAGTCTGTCGCCTGTCCACCATATGAATCACGTCAAACGTCTCAAACCCCCCGTGTCACTTACCACTTTGCCGGAACTCCTGCAAACAGCTCGCACATGACTTTATGAACCCAGCCATTTTTTTCCGCCCATTCAAGCCACTGCTAAAGCGCTCGCTCTCTCTCGCATGGAGTTAAGCTTTCCTGCCAAGCTCATGCATTGCGCGCATGTCCCCCGTCCACCCCGCTCCATCTTCTGACACACGTGAACGGTTTCACAACCCAGCAACGGAAGAAGACCCCGTCGTCCATCATCCATCAGACTGACCCAGAGACTTTGCTTTCCCCCAAATTCAGGAACGCGTAGGGATCTTTTGCGCTCTCTCGACTGGCGACACGCAAGATTTTGCAACGGCTCATTTTTTTCGCCCCTCAGTAATCTCGCCCTAAGTAGCCGTGGGGGGGGGGTTGGCACAGTACTTAACCGCCACCGCACATGTGGTGCATGGAGCCGCCCGAGAGAGTCAGAGACACAGATGGATCTAGGGGTAAATTCTTCCGCCATGTGTCAGACGTTTTGCCTGAGGGGAGCCGTTCTGAAGTACGTTTCTGACGGCATTAACGAAACCTGAGGTTTGGTACTGTGGTATTGGGCTATTGGTGCCGCCGCTGTCGTCGCCGAGGCGAAAAGTTCTTGTTTTGCCATGTGTGTGTGGCATACAAAAACGCATTGCAAATACCCTCGTTTCCTTAAGTTTCTTGCTATTATCATTCCGTTGAGTTTGTTCTGAATATTTCTCACTCTTTTTTTGTCGTGTTTGTAAGACTTTACGCAAATATACCTGCTTGACGCGGTATACTTACATTCTTATCTTTTTTTGTCTTTTACATTCGTACACTTTCTTGTCTTGAATCAATAGGACATACAAGCCATAACTGCCCTCTCCCCTACATATACATCCCGCCTTCAAAACCAAAAAACACAAAAATGCATTTCCCCTCCCTCGTCGTCTTTTCCGTCAGCGCGCTCAGCGCCCTCGCCGCGCCCGTGCTGAAAGACACAACGTACAACGCGATTTCGATTTCCGGTGGCACAGCCGGCAACGCAAAAGCCGAAGCCACAGCTGTGTTTTCGGCGCTGGACCTCAAGAACCCGGGGAACATTGATCCGGCAGATCTCACGTTCCTGAATAACGTCAATCAAGTCGCCAACGATGCCGAGAAGCAAGTCTTTAATCCCGCCGTCGCTGCCGCGAGCGGCACGCAAGCGACGCAGATTCAGGTATGTCCAGCACCACCAGCACGAAAAACGTAAAAAGGAAATTTTTGCTTTACTTAGGACCAACGTAAAACTAACGCCGGCACGTAAATTAATAGAACGGAAAAATCAAAAACAAAGTCCTCAAGCTCATGGCTACGGTAATCAAACTCCAGGCGCAACAAGCTCAGGGCAAAGACGTCGCTACGCAGCTCGCTGAGGAAACTAAAAAATTCAGTAATAATGTCGATTTGGATGTCAAGGCCGCGGGCCAAGTATCTGTTGCGGAGAAGTTTGATGCGACGATTTCGGGGACCAAGTAGCCCGCATGTGATGAGTTAAAGAGGGGGCGGGTGATTTTTTTTTCAGAAGACGCTGTGTGCGCTGGGATATATGTGTGGTGGTGTTGCTATTATTTACTTTTGCCGGTTCGGCGCGGCAGCATGGCTTACTACGTGTTGTGTTGTATTGTATATTTATCATTCTTGTGAGCAGGTTGTCGGAATTGTGAATGATTCATGGGACTATGGTGAGGGGATTGAAACCAGCTATAGCGACTCATTTTTACATCTACATATAGCCTATGTTGGTCTTAATGGCTATTTGTTTTCTGCGCATTCATATCTGGGGCGTGACTTGGCAATTTCCGTTTTGACATCTATGCTACAAATATGCACACGATAATATTCGGGTATAATTCCAATCCAAACTACATGTTCGTCCTCGCCTCATAGCTTCGCCTTGATAGGCGCAAAGGTACTCCCCTGTCCACCTCCCAGCGCCTCGACAAGTTCATCCACCTTCTCCAGCACCCACGTACACCCCTCGTCACTGACCAGCCACCGAATTCCCTCCTCCTCACCCGCCTCAGGCTCCTGCTTCCATGTCCCATCCTCCCACGCCTTCCTTAGCCCAAAAACGTGGCTAAGTACCTGTGGCCCAACGCCCTGCTGCGCGCGCAAACATGTAATGGCAATCAAGCTCGTGGTGATGCGCCCCACGGTCGCCCCCTCTTTGCGCGGGGGATCCGTAAAAAGACCTCCATACTCGTTATTGATAATGAAAACGGGCAGGTCCGGGTGCGCTTCACCGAGCTTTAGCTCGAGTTTTGTCTCGAGAGGGCGGTAGATGGCGTTCCAGAGGCCGCGGCCGCGCTCGTTTATTTGCGAAATGTTGGAGGCGTCGGGGAAGCGCGTGGGCTTGGTGTTGAGTGATGCGGCAATCGACGAGGGGAGAGAGGCGCGGAATGCGTTCAGCATGTTGATTGTGCGCGGGATCTGGCGGGCTTTCTTAGCATGGAGGATTGCGCTGGGGGTAGTCGCCTGGAGTTATGCGTACGCCATTGAAACCTATACACTTGAGACCGATTTCGCGCATGAACTCTGCAGTGGCAACGCCCTCGCTCTCCGGCCGCGATTGGGTCGAGCTGTTGTACAGGGCAATCATGGATTCGGGCGAGTTCATGGTCATTGTTGCGGCGGTGGATATGCTCAGCCATGATGGGCGGCCGAGCTTGCGATCGGTAGCCTCTCTTTCTATTTTACTGTATATTTTCTGAATCGCCGGGGGTGCGGGAACAGGGCCTGGCCGTGAATGGGCAGCGTTAATGAGTGACTTGAGGGTTGGCGATAGTTTGGACATGGCGGGCAATGTCAGATGTGTTGACCACGAAGCCAATGGTGCAAAGAGGGACTGCCAAAGAGCGACCAGAATTGGAATTTCAAGAATGCTCCGGGTATGTGGGTAGAGAATGCAGCGGTGGGCGCGTGGTCATGTTTAAGGCGGTTGAGCCCGCCATGACGCGACTCTCACGCCGTTCCGAGGCACAGTTCGGCTGTTTTTCAGGGTCCGACAGTGCATGTGGGGACCTTGAAAGATGCCAAGTCCTTACCACGACACCTCACTGTATGCCTTCATTGACCAGCTTTGCTTTGACAGCTTCTTGTACCAAGCCATCGATTGTTGGCAGAGCGATGTAAAAGCCTACGAGGCTGGGAAATAACCATTTACAAATATTCCGTGCTGGAGGCCTTTGTCTAGAGTTGTCCGGTTCCTAACGGATTTTCCATATATCTGCCCGCTGTCTTTTCGGAGACACTGATTGAGTATAGATCGATAGACCAGACTGAGTGATTATTACAAACAGACATGGGGAAGTCTAGTGACCCGCCATACCGGAAGGCCGGTTGTGAGTATGGTGGGCTACATCATGCAAGTGGCTCACACAAACACGCGGCCTATCTTGTGCTATATGGCACTTTTTGGTCATTAGAGGTTCTTCAATTTCCGCATATTGAAGAGCAAGATGAAAACCGCGACGCTACTGCGGAAACTTTCTACCATATTCCAACATGTGACATGATACATCGGTCCAGTCCCGGCCTTGACAGATGAGAGCATTACATCTGGAGTTTATCTTTGTTCCGGACAACCCGCAGTTCCAGCCGATGACCAACATTTGTTATTACCCAACAAGAATATTACATCCAGCAACGCTTTCCAACTGACTGCGAGACTTCCACCTGTCGAGTATCTGTTTGTCGGTTACCTTCTGCACATGTAAGACAAAACCAGCATGTTGCCCGAAGATGAACTGTTAATCTGTGGAGGTCTCCTTCATCCAGCAATCCTCCAGTTTGATAGCGGTCTATGATTACGTCAATCAACATGAAAGAAGTTCAATCGTCGCACTACAGTGCCCGTGCACCAGATGAGCACCATCGCCAGTTGAGCACCCCCAACAACTCAATATAGTCAACAAGATGAGGCTGTAGAGCCACCATAAATCGTAATAAAATTGTGCAAAGCTAGGATTATACTATATACAGGCCTACGAAAGATTTGGCTTATTCAGAAATTTTTTTGGAGGGCGTTATCGGTCGTTGCCATCGACTACGCGGTGGAGCAGCTCGTGCAACCCTTGCGGCTCCCACCACAGCTAGAGCAACACCACCACACTTTTGACGCTTTGTAGCTGGCTTATGAGGTTTTGACGCTTTGCGCTTACCCGATTGGGGCAATTATATAGCTTTGGCAGCGTCGCGGAGGCTTCTACGATGCTCTCTTTCGGCTTTCTCTGCAGCCTTCCGCTTTCTGGTCTCCTCCCAACCCTTCTCCCGCTCAACACGGGCTGCTTTTTGAAGTTGAAGCTAGCAATCGCAAGCTGCCTTCTTGATCTCGGCTTGCTCGGCTTTTTAAAGCTTTTCAAGCTCAGCTTGTTGTTGTTGTTGTATCTTGTTATCCTGAACTCGTTTAACGCTTGTTGGTGACCACCAAACAGCTCCACCATGATACTCAGGATGATCCTCAAGCTGTAGGGTATAGGATTTGGTTTCCCGCCTCTTCTTGATGGCTAGGGACTGCCTAAGGCCTTTGAGTTCGCCGTGGAGGAGTGTATTTTGAGCTGCAAGGTGGTGTAAACTTCGTTGAAGCTTCCTGACGTCCTTGCTGTTACGATCCCTCACCTCACGACGTACAATTGTCTTCAGCTTGAGCCAATCCTCCCTGGAGAGTACAGAGGTTGAACTGGCTTCTGAATCTGACCCCTCTTAGCAAACTTCTGAGTACAACGTCTGGGTTGGGTGGGTGTATCCCAGTTGCTTCAAAGGACCTCTTGATGGAGGGG